TGTGCATGAAATACATTGAGCACCGTGTGGGAGTATACGTATGCTACGCGCAGAGGGTTTCATGTGTAGGTGTGTGTGTGAGAATGTGTGTGTGTATGTACTCTACTGAGAGACATTCTCGTAAGGAATGTGAGCATAAGCCTTTTCACATTTCAGCCCAGTTCAGTTTAGGTAAATGTTATATCCTACTAAGAAAATATAAGTCTCTTCCAGAAACAACAGAAACTAAATTACATGGTAACTCAGCCAGGAGGAAACCTGTATATACAATAATAATTAATGAAGCATATTAAATATGAACACATACCCCTCATGCAGATACTTGCTTACAATCACACATACATTACTCTCCCTGTTAGTTTTATATTAGAAACACTTACAGTTGAGATTAGAGAAGCTACGAGTCAATGACCAAAAGCTACTGGCAGTCAATGTTAAATAGCACCTTCCTATACTGTGTGTACATTTTTCTGATTGATGTAAAAAGGTCAACAGACACAGACAGAATGAGTCTGATGAGTATTTGTCTGTACAGTGGTGGCTTGTTAATACAGGGCGCTGGGGCACCGCCCCCTCCAACATCCAGTGAAAAATAATCCAATATAAACATGTTACAAACGCAACTTAATTAGAAAATAGCAGTTAACTCATACAATGCGCCCGGTGACCATAAGCACCAGTGAGCATTCAGTAGAAATAGTTTTCAAATTGAATTTGGTTAATTTCTGTATTTACTATATCAGAGGGGAATATTTGTTTATTTTGCTCAGATACAGGTTGTTGAGCAACACAGTTCACTCCCAGCTCAAATCAACAGAATGACTCTTACTATTAACTCTGAGAATTAATCACATCATATTTAATAACTATCCTACATTACTGAAAATGCTTTTCCTCCCAAAACACATGGAGACCAAACATAAAACACATTTTTATTATTTTGAGCCTATATACACAAATAACAATAACCTAAGATACTTTATTGTACACTGCTAACAGAGTTATAAGAGGCAGGTTCATGTTTATAGAGGAACATCCATTTTAATTATATAGTACTGTGTTATTATGCGGTCAGCACAGAAACACATAAGTAAATATATCAACCACCCATAGCAAAAAGGGAATCCTTAGAAATGTCTGAAATGTCAGCAGATACGATATTAATGTAGTCTTTTCCATGTGGATATGATATACTGCATTGCGTTGCTTTGTACTTGTGATATGTGCAATGACAATAAAGTTGAATCTAATCTAATATCAGTGATCTGTTTGTGCATGTGTGCTTGTGTGTGTGGGTGTGCGTCCCTTGCACACATGCCCTGAGAAATGTTTTTTATTGGGGAAAGTGAAAATGCATCATAGACCTTTATCTGAGATGGAATGGTGAGCTAAAATGTGCATGTAGCTTAATTTATCATGTACTAAGAGCAGAACCAATAAATATGGAGCCTATTGATACTATGACCTTTAACACAGGGTTTCGCTATCTTTCTCTAAACTCCAATGAATTAACTTGTAGAGGAGGATATAACTAATGTTTATATAATTTTCTAAGGTAAGTATTGAAAATATTTCTAGTTGCATCAATTATAGAGCTCTCGTTGAAGATGCCAAATAGCATGTATATTTCTTTAGCAAACTCTGTCATCACAGTGTCTTTAACCCACAGTTCTTGCATGACAACCATCCTACTGGCAATGTTGCCATTTCTAAGCATCTACGTGTTTCTAAAAAGGTATTTGAGGAGGCAGTGAACAAGGTTAAGGGTGAGCTGTAAGGGATAAGATAATGGGATAGACATGTCTGTTCTGTTTGATAACGATTTTAAGCCTTTTTCTTCACCCATGATTCATGGATTTATTTGTGTGTGTGTGTGTGTGTGTGTGTGTGTGTGTGTNTGTGTGTGTGTGTGTGTGTGTGTGTGTGTGTGTGTGTGTGCGTGTGTGTGTGCGTGTGTGTATATCCTTTATTAGATTCTATGCCATGTGTCTGTCCACCTTCGGATCTTGTAACATACGACTCATTGAAACTGTACGTCAAAAACAGCCTTTTTAACAGTCTCACAAACTGAACAAAATGTTAAGGTCTGTAGCCCAGATAATAATAACTCATGTCTATGAGGGAAGATAAGAAAGAATTAATTGTCCTTCTATCAGCACCACTCATCATTAAGTCAAACAATGTGCAGCAAAGACTCAGGAGGCTCTCTGTATGAATCCTAGCAACTTCCACACTGAGATGCACAAGAACTGCCATAATTAACATGTACACACTGGAGCAGGGTGAGAGTGTGATGCTGCACGGTGCAGCAGACATGAGAGAAATGTAATATTGGCAGCTGTGTCAAATATGATATTTAGATTAGTTAGATCAGCTCATGGGAGCACACGACTTAAGTGCCTGCCATAACTGAGGGAAAGGGGGTCAATACGGCAGAAGAAAAAACAAGATAGAGCAATGATAAACAAATAACAACCATAAAAAGTCAAGAGAAATATAAATATACTATAGATGATTATGGTGTGCAAACTTTGAAGAGGAAATATACAATATCAAATCTGTAGATGAAACAACCATCAGCCAAAACAATAAGAGCCGTAATTGGTTTTACTGTATCAGATTATTAGAAAGATGCACAGCACAGCTCCCATTACAAAACAGTTTGAAAATATCATATCATCAATATAGTGACCAAAGTTATCACGAGTGTTACCATAGTGCTTTGTTACATTATTATACACACACACACACACACACACACACACCTACACTGAATTGTTTCGGTTGGTTGAACAAGGTAACACCCTGCATGTATACAAACCACACATGTACGCAGATACACACATAAATTAGGCTACACAAATGTACAGTGACACACATACACATGTTCGTACTTCTATAGTGAGGACACTCATTGACATAAAACATTCCCTACCCCCTTACCCTAACCTTTAGCATCCAAACTAAATACCTAAACCTAAACCTAATCCTAACCCTAAAACCAAATCTCAAACCGCCCATTGAAGAAGTGAGGACTCCCTTTCAAAAAATGCCCTCACTCTGTAGGGTATATATTTAAAATGGTCCTCACAAAGATCAAAGTACAGGAACACATACACACACAGTGTGTTAATTTCCCTGAAACCTACTCTTAACCAGAACTCCTACTTGTTGTACCCTGTAACTTTACCCTTAACCAAAATGCTTCCACCCTGCTGACTTGGAAATGTGTGGGTTGTTTGTGTTCTTATCTCTCACACATATTATCCATATTGAGATAATAAACCAGCTTAACCTTTACTGCAGACAAGATTACATGATCATGATTGGATGAAAATAGTCACACGCAGATGGAAGACAAAAGGTGTGATGTGAAAACAACAGACATAAACACAAAGGAGACTAGAGTGTTTCTCCTCGTGGAACACTTGCACAACCAAGTCAACAACTCTCTGATTTAAATTGACAAGTATAGAGGTTTGGTAACTAATCCATTGGAAATGTTTTCATGTGCAATGGACAAATAAAGTCTGGATACACACAAAACATGTTCTACAAAAAAAGGGAACATTAAAATTAAAAGCTTTAGTTTGAATTAGTAACAAGGTATTGGCAAGTTAGATGGACAAACCATGCTTTTTTCCAACATGTCATTCCCCATGTTATGCATGGAGCTAAAAGCTAACTTGTTCTGATTCCAGTTTCCCTCAGCACTAATAAAACCAAAATATGACTCCACTTCAGACTTAACTCTTTGAAGGCTGAAAAATCTTGTTTTCATTGGAGCAAAACAAACCTATGTTGCATTATGTGATGTGAGCTGCTAACTGATTGATACTGTACAGTGTTTACCTTGAGTTTTTCAAAGCAAAGTAAAATTATTAAAATATGAAATGGCAATCCAACCACTGTACTAGTTTCACAGAGTTCACCATGGTAACCATTTCATTCTTGGTGTTGTCACTTCACCTATGTGGACAAAAGTAAATCTTCTTCACTAAGGTTGCATTTATAAGCTTCTCTCGCCAGAACCACTTTGTGGACAAAAGTAAATCTTACACTTGAGGCCCTCTGCCTTTACCAGATAATATAAGCGTCTCTTTTACCCCAAAAAATTGCACACTTTCAATTAAACTAAAGTAATTTCACTGCTGCTAACTGAGAGCAGGCCTACGGCACATTGTGATAATATATTTTGTTTAAAACTACCATCCAAACCGAAAAAGTCAGTATCATCAATTAGTCATATCAGGCAGAGGCAACAAGGCTTTGATATGCTTTGCACTTGGCACCACTGATAAACAACATTGAGCATTTTCATAGTACGAAAACCTGTG